TATTTAAAATACAGTAAAATATGTTTGTTTTAGATCAAGATGCTCAACATTTTTGTTTTACTGAGGTGGGATGCCTTTCTTTTATGTCTCTCAAAATATGTGTTCATGCCAGTGGAAACAATTGCTGTTTTACAGTAGCAACAGTGCATTGCAAATGTATTCAGACCCCTTGAATCTTTTGCAAATGTTGCCAGGTAATAGTCATGACCATCACTGTGTTTATCTATAAGTCTATTGTAGTAAAACATTTTCCAAATGTTTTCCAGATGAAAAAAATAAAACAAATCAAGAGTGGTGTGCATTTGCATCCATCCCCCTTTTACTCTTTCACCCCTAAAATAACACATTTTCTTTGGAAGTCGCTTCATTGGCAAATAGTTTCTGTCAATGTAATTTAATTTCAGTGTGAATCCAGCAGTTATGTGAAGACCCTTTTAGACCTGTTAGTGAGCAAACAGCAAGAATAATACCCAAAAAATTAACCAACTCCACAGTGAAATATAATGGTGGCAGCAGCATCATGCTGTGGTTTACCTTCAGAACAGCCTTCATCCAGAGCTACAGTCGATTGATAGCAATCAAACATCTATGCATTAGAATGGCCTATGCAATGAAATCTATGTTGAGACTGCAAAAATCTATTTTTGCAAAAAAATCAAATTCAGTGCAAAGTTGACATACACTTTGTATGAAAACTGTAACTTAACATGCATTTTCATGTCAGTAAATATTTAAAATTGATAAGAGTATGATGTCTACACGTGGAGAACTTAGCATGAAATCTAGCTAAATAGGGTGCATATGAATAAAGAGAGGAAAGGAAAAATGGATGAATACAGTAAAAGCTTTAACCACAAGGAACCATAAATGTGACTTAGAAGTGTATTGCTTGGAACCACATTGACTGTGATATACTTTAAAAGGATTTTTGTGTTGCTGTTTTTGGCTGTGGTGGTGTAACCGCTCATTCCTCAATCTTGAAGGCCTCTTATTAGGTTCTACTATCATCAACTTCACAGTTATACTAGAAAAAAAGCACATCTAACAACTACATAACAAAAAAAATCTGTCTCCCATTGAAGTGATAAAACAGCCTCACTCTCTTCTACCGCCTTTGAAAGAACACCGCCAGTGAAAATAAGCTCAACAGTGTAATTTAGCGAGCCCTATAAATCAATCCTGGTGAGTCCACATATTTCTGTGAGGGGAGAATTTATATGTTTAATTACCGAGCGCAGGTGCCAGGCCCTGGCTTTACTCATTACAGAAAGATATATGAATGGCAGCAAGAACCCGGATAGCGCAGGACAAAAAGTGAGGACAATGTAATTAGCCAGCTCTTATTTAATGGGACCCTTCCTCAAGTCGTCCGTGGCTCCCTCCGCGGCTCCTCGTCCATATGCTTCAATTCAGAAGTCATTTCAGAAATCACTAGTGGCAGGTAGCAGAGCAGCAATTAACAGTGGCAGAGAATGGGATCGGCAGGGATTGAAAATGAAGTGTTAAACACTGCGATATTTGATTGTCCAGCTTTACATCGCCTCCTCCCTCCGCTCCTTCTTTTTCGTTTCTGTCTCCCAAGGATTGTTCCAAAGAGGTTCAAAGCTTCCCCAATGAGTGGGTCTGGGATGTAAATGTCTTTGGCCATGAAGAGGCTGAGGATGATTTTGGCCATGTCGCCACATATTCAGCCAAATTGAGTGTTTAAGTGGACTTGGCTGTAAATTTGGCTTAGCCTTTACAGGAGCAAATATATGCTGTTTTATTTAGCTTGATGGTACCTGTGCTGTATGTTGAGGTTGGCTGAAGATATTAGCTTCGACACAGTCAATGTGCCAAGCACACAGAGTCGAGCCAAGGACCTGTACTGACCATTAAGACAAAACATTGTCTGCTTTCAATATTATGGCTTTCAATGAGCAAAGAGTAGCAAGCAAATAAATTCAAAATATTAAAATGTGTCTGTTTTTATGAAAAATGCTCTACCTGAAGTGATTAGAAGTAATTATTTTCAATCTGACTTATCACTATGGAGAAACTATGGTCTTCTTTTCTTTGCAGTTGTTTTCATTCATTGCTTTAGTTTAAGGTTCATAGACTTATTTTATGGAAAGCTCACTCAAGTTAGCAACACAACATTTCAATCAGCTTAAGAGCTGGATATTAACTGAGCCATGGCAACATCCTGATGTTCTTTTTCAGACATTTCCTTGTGGATTTGTTGCTGTGTTTGGGATTATTTCCATGCTACTTATACAGTTTGGATCAACCTTCACACAGTCTCAAATTTGACTCTTAAATAGTTGATGTCTGAAAATTGCCCAGATCCTATAGCTAGAAAACAAACCCAAATCATCACCCTTCCACTACCGTGTTCCAGGGGGTTTTATTTATTTAAATAAAATTTTGAAAACCCAAGTCAAGTCACCATATTTCAACTGTGGTAAAGCAAAACTTGTTAGTTTCCAACCTGCCCTGTCATTCATTTTACCCTTTAACAAGCTAACTGAGGTTTGAAGAGTCTAAGATAGACATTCTGCACAGACTGAACTTCGGCTAAATACGCTAAAACATTCATTGCTGGAAAGATTTTCACTCAAGGAAAACAAGTGCAATTTAAATTGTTTGGAAATGTTATTATAACTTTCTCAGATTGACTGGCAGTAACTCATTGCTGATGTCCTTCCTGCTTGGGACAGGGCTCATACACACATGTATTCTCCAGAGCTATGGCAGCAGCAGGAAGTGTACAATTTGTGTATTTTATTGATAAATGTGTAGTCATTTAAATCCTTACCTGATATGAAAAACAGGAAAGCAATACACCATAATCCTCTCATGACCAACCCTGACAAATAAACAGAGAAAGAAAAACCCCAGTAGACAGGCTTTGACTTCTATTTACCCAGTTTACAAACTCAGAAACATATCCAGTAGTGAGCTGATCCATCCCACCCGGAGGCGTTGTTTGGCCAACACTAAGCCGTGGGACCCTCACTGGACACCACTTGGCTGTTCCTGAACTCTCTGCACTCACCGTCTGGCCACAGGCTTGTTGCAATTGGCAGGCCGTGTGCTCCATGTTCCCTGGCAACTGCCCACTCTTGAGTTCATAGCTTTTGACCTGCATGTTGAGAGGATCGCTTGGCTCTCGCTGAGCCGTATAAACATTGGAGCATGTTTGCCGAGGGCAGTTTGGCCAGAGCATTAAAACACCTGATGTTCTTAATCTGTCTTGGAGCCAGTTACAGTGACTGTCCTTTGGCAGCATCAAAACCGTGTTAGACTCCATGTGGGCAGTAATGTAGCATTACCCTAAATTAACATAAGCAAATAATTAACAAGTTTTGGCATATCTTCTTTGTGAAATCTTTATCAAGTCTTACAAAAGTCTTTGTTTCAGTGCAATTATGCTGTTTATAGCCAAAAATTAACTTTGTTTTGTTGTTTTTCTTTCCACAGACAACAGCTATACTTCTTCTTTAGCTTAAAGTTAAACCAGTGTGAAAACACATGATCTATGCTACTCACATCCAAGGATTGCTGTTATTATTTTAGTACACAACCTCTAAAAATTGTAGGAGCTTGCGGCATAATAAGCAATCTCTCAGAAAGGGTTTTAGTGTGTTTAGGTGAGTGAGAGCTAAACAGGCTGGACAAGGTATTTCAGAAAATACTGACTAACTGTATTTCCACATGGAATAGTAGTCTCAAGCAATAAGGACCTGCATATTTATTGCCCAGCTACCTAATTGAAAGTCTATTGTTGACAGTTCATCGGAGAAATACAAGTGGGCATCAGAGTAATAATCCTTCTGGTTAGAACTCCAACAGAGATTGAATCATAAATTATAAATTGCCACATTCATGTGGCTATCTCTGAAATTACTAAAACCTGAGTAATTTCTGAATTTATCCTATCAAACTATAATTTTTTGTCACATGTCATCACTCTCACTTACAGACAAACTGGGCTCAGCGCAGAGCGCTTCTAAATCCCTCAGCACGGTGCCGGTTTGCTACATCTTTAAACTCAAACAGAGAAGAGTTCTTCCAAATTCACCACCAAAAATAAAAATCCAAATTCCAAATTCACCATTAAGCTGATTACCTAAGATTTTCTTCTTAGGTAATCATTTGTTATGTAATTAAATCCAAGTTTGGGATTCTTGGTGCCTAACTAATACTCTTTTTTTCTTTAACGCTTTCTAATGTACTTCCTTTTAGACTTTCAAACAATGTAAGCTGCAGGCCTTAGAACATTGAAAGGGAGAACTTTCAAGAATGATGAAATAATCCCTTTAATGCACATTCTTCCTCTCAAATATGAACATCTTTCATCTGCTGTTGGTTTGATGCTCATTACTTGCATTTGCATTTTTCTAAATATTTTTTTTTTTGCGACTGAGCACATTAAAAGCATTTCTACTGCTCTGTTATGTGGCATTAAGCTTATAATTGTTGCATCTTAAATGGTAAATGATGTGGTAAACAATTAAGATTAAGGTCCAAGGGAGAATAAGTAGCATTTTAGATTTCAGAAAAGCCAATTAAGTTAAATATAAACTGCACTAAAGTGAAATGTTAATCTTGTTTATCGAGTCAATAAAATATAGATGACTTAAACAGAGTAAGAAAAAGATTTGAACTCATTAAGCTCTTCCAATAACTTTCTTTCAGTGTAGAAAGTCTAAACCATTTTAGTGTTGTAATTTAATTTATTTCAGCCCATGTACAATCAATCAGGATCTGTAAATAGCTCTTAAAAGGTTTACTCAACTTAACACACTCGCCAACCACGTCAATATGGTCTGGGTCAACTAACACTGCTTCTGTATCAGGCTGTGTGTGAAGGGTGACTGATAAAGTAATGGAAACGAAGCGGTGACTCTGTTCTGTGGGTAACAAACTTTGAATGTCAGCCAGCGTGACGGCCACTGACTCAGACAGACACAGGGAGGAGGGTGTGAAACGGAAACGACGCTGGCACCGATCCCTACCTGGTTGAGAGCAGCTGGCGCTCCTCCAGTCAGCGTGCCGCCCTGGCTGCCATCTCTCCTCCCAACTCGTGGCTCCGGGCCCCGTTTTCACTCACACTGAGGACACGACCAGAAAAACACCCAAATGAGACAAGAGGATGGGTCGTCACAGTCAGACCTCTGGATGAAACACAGCTTTTTATTACTGCAAGTTGGTGTGAGGGAAATATTCTCTTCATAAACAACCATACATCATCTCTAAAATAGGTCAAATGTTATAGATTGAAACAAAACTGAAAAAAAGATGGACGTATTGACTAAAGCAATACCAAAACTGAATTCAGTTCAGTAGTGGAAGATGAACAGTCAGAACTGTTCCTTTATTGAAACTCCATAGCTTTTCTTTTATCCTTCACACTTTGCGAAACATCTAAAAATTGCACTGGTCTGTTATGGTGAAGTGAGATGAGCTCTCAGTTTACCTTAGCAAGGCAGCAATAAAGAAGATCAGGAATACAAGTGTTCAAAGAGAGTTTCTCTCTTTTCTTTTTTGCTTCTTGAAAGAAAAAAAACATTCCTATGTTTTCTTCTATTGTCTTACTTACAGGCAGCTAAGAGAAATAGGTTAGTGGTTCTGTACCTTTTTTTGCCTCGTAGCCTCTTTGTATTCATTTTAAACCTAATAGATCCTGTTTGTTCCATCAATTCATGTGCTTATTTTTGTAATTTAATTAATTAGAAGTAAATAGATTGAAACATTTCATGAATGAAGATAAAAAAGAAAAGTCGACTAAAAGCAAAAAGCAAATACAAGGGATAATGAAGAGGACCTGATTAAATCTTTTACTGCAAACAACTCCACACCGTATAGCCAAAGAAAACAAGTGGGAAAAAAAACAATTACCAGTAACACATTCACAAGAACAATTGAAATAAAAAAAATAAAAAAATAAAGTTATGAGCTGAGCAGAAAAGCTCAAAGTTTAATTGAGATGAACATTAAGATATGTTCCCTGGGTTTTTTCCTGGCAACTTTAACCAAGGAAGTTGCCAGTGTTACGGGGAAATGTGAAAAGTCTATTTTTATTATTTGATTTTTAGACAAATGTAAACTGTTGTGTCCTGAAAATGTCTGAAAGTCAGTTCTTTATATTAGAAGGATCTTGGTTTTATATATATATATATATAGAAATTCACTATTCAATTAGAAATTAGAAGAATTTGTTAAACTGAAAGGTAAACCTGCCTTTTTCTTGAAATCTTGCATATGCATGAATTATCTACAGCCTTAGTTGTTTTCATTTCTGGGTCTCGTTCTTAATGCATTTTTTTCATTGGCTGTCTACCTTCACGTGTTACAACCACTTCTGATTGGTTGACCATCATCTCATGATGACTCCTTCCCCAGAAGCTGCTTTCTTCTGAAATCCAATCCAAGATTCACACAGAAGAATACATCACAAGACAACCAACAATTGTCATCAAAATAAATATTTAAAGGACTTTTTTTTGAAGACGACATTCTTTTCACACTCTTTTATTACATGGTCAGAACATCTTTCTCAGCAGAACTTCTTAGTTGTTTAATTAGAAACTTTCTGCCTTGCACGTTTTTAAGAAACCTAATGCAAATGTATAAATACATTAAAAAAATATGTTGTTTTATACCAATCAATATGTTATATTTAATTATTTGTGGAGTATTAAAATTCTATTTATGGGGTTGAATTTCCAATGTTCCCATGTGAAGCACCATCTAAAAATTAAGGGTTTTCTATTAGGGATGCCAATAAAAAGGTAGATCCAAATAAATATGTGTTCAGTCAAAAGTGATAAGCTGTTTTAAAGATTTAATTACTACAACTATACATTAGAAAAAAGTGAAAGTAGCAATTCTTTAAATGATGAGAATGGAATAGAAATGGGGGAGGGGGCAGGGGTGTGGTGGTAAAGCTCAGATGGAGGGGAAATGAATTCCCAAAACTAATCTTAGCATAATCAGGGCACTGCCCCAGTGTCCTAACCCCATCTACATGCACACATACACACAGTACAACACATAACCTCCACTGTGTGGGTGGCGTTGTTCCCATGACCCACTTAACACATCTGGGTCATCTGTATTCAACCACCAATTTACAGATACACACACAAATCCAGCCAGGTGCATTAAGACAAATGAACCCACACATACAGAATCAGAAAAGCCGGACTGTTTTCTCCTTCCTCAGCCCAGTGAATATTGAAATCAGTCGAACGCTTGTTACTGGAGAAAGCAGCAAACCTCTGACACGTTGCTGTAGTTATCTGATAAACTTCACTTCTGTTCAACAATTATCTGCCCCTCCACAGCCAAAAACTACCACTGCTTGATTCTTCCTCCATTTACTCATCTCAGTGCCAAGCTGCAGAAGAAGAAGAAGCAGCAAGGGCCGAATGCACGGCCCCTCTTTACTGCACATAAAGAGCACTGTGAAATGAACACCTTGGAAAGCCAAAAGGTTGGCTTGCCAGTTGTACAGCTGGATGTAAACTAGTAAGTTTTGCTGCCGCACTGGGGCCTTTTTGCAGAGGCAGGAAGCAAGAAAAGGGCACATGAAGAGAGTGCTTAGGCTCTTTAAACGCAGGGGTAGCACTGGCTGCATCGCTTCCAAAAATAAAAAAAGGGAAAAAAAATGAAAGAAAAAACTTTTGAAGTGTGTTTGTGTTTGAGGCGAGGGAGCAAAGGTGTGCTTTTGCGTTAGAGGCAAAAGGCAAGTGTATCCCTCCCAACTATATGTGTGTGCATGTGCATGTGTGTGCATGGAAGTCCCTCTTGCCAGTTTTAAAAACCATGCGTAGCCCAGGTAAATGGCATGCTGTCGTCTGTACATGCCCAGTGGCTTTTCCTTTCTCTTCACAGGGAAGAGTTCAGAGGGCCAGTTAGCACCGTTCACAGCGGACCCCGAGGCTTCAGTCAAACACACATGTACACACGAGAAAACACCAACGTGCAGATATGCTGGAAATCATGCACAAAGATGTGTAAAGTGCACACATACATATCTGCACATGCTCACAGGCTCTTGTTAAATCATGCAGCAGCTGTACATGCATGTACACGCACTCCCGCATGTACACACAAACACACACACATTTGTACACGCAGCTGGCCCGTGGCTAAGGCATTCAAACAGCCGTGATATCGAAAACCAGCAGTTGGGAAAACAGTGGATTTTGCCGAGGTCCATAGCAGGTTATTGATCAAGGTTAGCTTAATGTGCAAACTGCCTGTGGCCAAGAGCCGTTCCCACAACAGATGTGTGTGTTGTTGCAGATGAGTGTGTAAATAAAGGGCTCTGTGTCAGTGTGTGTCTGTTTATAGGTGCAAAAGTGTTCTGTTTTTTTTTTTTTTTTTTTTTACTTACCTATGCAGTAAGTTTATAAACTAGCTGGCTTGAAGCTAAAGCCAAGAACAATGTATCTTTACCCACCAACATGTTGAATTTAATCTCCAACAACAAAAAATAGTTTAAATGCAGCATTATAATGATCGGATCCGGATTTAATTTGGAAATTACATGATTTGTAAAGGGTTGGTATGTTTTGAACAGCTGTAGGAGGATCCTGAATTGAATTGAGTTTTATCAGATGATTGTCAGAGCATCTAACAGTGAGTCATAAACAATGAATGAAGTTTTCGGAAGAATGGGTTTCCCCAACAATACAGAAAAGCAGTGGGGGAGGATTAATAATTTGGGCTTTTATTTGCAGCCAAAGGACCTGGGAACATTTGCAACTATAGAGTGGATCTCACATGAATCTCAATTGGACACCATGAATAAATAAAGGTGAAATAATGTAAGTACTTAAAGTAGCAGAACAATTAAATTGAGAAGGGATAATTGCCCAAACATTCCATGCCTCAACTCAAAGAATTATGAACAGAAATCAGAAGTAATGTAACAGATCTACTCCAACATGCTGCCATAATCTAGAAACTCTGACCAGCTTCCCTTTCCCTGCTGAAGAAAAGCACAGCATGATGGTGCCACTACCATGTTTTACTGTTGACAACTTTCACATAGTTGGTTTTGGTAGCTTTTCTATTTCATGTTCCCAGTTTAACTGGACAGCTATGTTTTGATTGGTCTGTAGTTATGGTATATATGCTTTGCATTTCTCAATGGTTGAAGCACTGCTCTTTCAGATGTTCAAAGCTTGAGATATTGTTTGAGTATAAAAGTCTGAGGCTTTTTCAATCAATAAAACATTTTTTTTTAAAAAACTGTTTCTCTTGGGCCTGTATAACCTGTTCCTTCCCTGTAGTTTTGCTTCTGTTCTAATAAGTAAATCCAAAAATCCTGAATCGTGCCTACATGAAACACAGGAGAGAATAGTGGGATTTAAACTGCACAGAAAAACAAAATTGTGTCATAGCAGCTGGAAACGTCTCCCTGCAGCTCATTCCTTCCTGTGCTTATGGGAATATGTTATCTCTGAAGCTTATATCCATTGAAACCAATATTAGCAGTCAGGAGAAACACAAAGATTAGATATTTTACACACACATATGGTTCAAAAATAACTGCTGTTATGAGCGGAGGCGAATACTGGAAACTGTACTTGCAAAAATCACAGCACAGCAGATAAATATGCGACTGCCTGCTAACATGACACAGTTCCAAAACTAAAGCTGGCAAAAAAAATAAAAAATGCCTTAACACTGAGCCAATATGTGCTAAAGAGACAGAATGGAGCCTACTGCTAAGTCTCCAAATGGTTCACAGGTGGAAAGCTTTTAATAGCAGCGTGCACAAGCAGCCGGGGCAGTGAAGATTCATTTCATTACAGCCTGCTGGACAAGTGAATGGTTAGAAAATCACCCTACACAGCAGGCTCAGCTCTTAATCCTCAGAAAACATAATTTCTCAATATAGCTAAAGCTGAAAACAAAAGTCAACACAGAGCTCTGCGGCTTGTGGTCTCTCAAGGATGACTTTGATATCTGTGTTTTCTTCATTTTGCCGAACACAAATTTGCCCTGAGGCTTATTCATCCAAAACCCTGAAACCACACAACTCAAAAATCAAACCACAGAATACGTGCAAATGATGAACCGCCAAAATGTCCCCGCT